GAACGGTGGGTTTGCTGCTGCTGCTGCTGCTGCTGCTGCTGCAGCTGACCCATCGTCTGCTGCTGCTGCTGCTGGTTTAGTAGCAGCAGCAGCAGCAGATGCTACCTGCTGCTCTGCTGCAGCATCTGCTGCTGCAGCAGTTGAAGGCTCCTGCGGTGCTGCTGGGGTTCCTGCTGCTGTTTCTATCTCAGCAGAAGCAGCAGCAACTGCAGCATCAGCAGCAGCAACTGCAGCATCAGCAGCAGCAGCAGCAGCAGCAGGCGTCATTGCTTCTGCTGCTTGACATAGAGGAGAGGCAACATGCTTCTCCCCCGCTGTTGCTGGTGTTGCTGCTGCTGTTGCTGCTGCTGCTGCTGCTGCTGCTGCTGGGGATAGGCCCTCAGCGTCTTGCACTGTGCCTTCGGTGCTGTTGCTGCTGCTGCTGCTGCATGCAGCAGCAACAGCATCACATGCCACGTCGGCTTCCTTCTGTGCTGCTGCTGCTGTTGCTGCTGCTGCTGCTTCTGCTGCTGCCGTTGCTGCTGCTTCCTTCGCAGCTAACTCATCTGCTGCTGCTGCTGCTGCTGCTTCTTCAGGCTCAGCAAATAGCTGCGCATGCACACACAAGGAAACGCAGCAGCACCATGGAGCAGCAGCAGCAGCAGCAGCTGCTGCTGCTGCTGCAGCAGCAGTAACTGCAACAGCAGCTACAACAACAACAGCAGCACAACCTACAGCCCCAACAGCCGCAGCAGCAAGTGAAACAGCAGCAACATCTACCGCAACAGCAACAGCAGCATCAGCAGCAGCAGCAGCAGCAGCAGCAGCAGCAGCAGACCTGTTTGTATTGAGGGAAGAGATGTCTGCCTATGGTACGAAGCTGCTGCCAGCAGCAAACTGAGCGAAGAACAAAAGGAGACAAATTTGTTTTTTTTAGGGCATTCAGAGCTTTCTCTAGCTGCTTGCTGCAGCAGCTATCTGCTGCTGCTGCTGCTGCTGCTGCTGCTGCTGCTGTTGTTGCTGCTGCTGCTGTGTCTTCAGATTTTGCTGCTGCTGCTTCTGGCGATGCCGACAGACCAAGTTGCTTCTCGCTGCTGCTGCTGCTGCTGTTGCTGCTGTTGCTGCTGCTGCTGCTGTCGGTGTTGCTGCAAGATATACCCGCTTCTCCCACCTTCATGCACTCCTGCTGCTGCTGCTGCTGCTGCTGCTGCTGCTGCTGCTGCTGCTGCTGCAGCATTGTTTTGAATGTCTTAAGGAAGAGCAGCATATCAGAAGCAGACCAAAAGATGGGGTGACAAGCAGCAAGACGAAGCACTGGCTGCTGCTGCTGCTGCTGCTGCTGCTGCTGCTGCTGCTGCTGCGGTTGCTGCTGCAGCAGCAGCAGCAACAAATCCTGCAGTAAGGGAGACTTGTCCAGCTGAAATAAAACCAATCGCACCACAAAACCTAAACCCTAAACCCTAAACCCTAAACCCAAAACAATAAGCCTTAAAACCTAAACCCTAAACCCTAAACCCTAAAAGATAAACCCTAAACCCTAAACCTTCAACAATAAACAACAAACAATAAACCCTAAACCCTAAACCATAAACCCTAAACCATAAACAATAAACCCTAAACCCTAAATCTTAAGCAACAAACAACAAACCCTAAACCCTAAACCCTAGACCCTAAACCCTAAACCCTAAACCCTCACGAGTTTCATGTTGACGATATTTCCCTTTTCCATGTTGCTGAGGGTTTCTTTGGGGTTTGCTGTCGACCCGTAGGGGTGCAGCCCCCCGCTTACTATGCTGAATATGCAGGCACCTGCAGCAGCAGCAGCAGCAGCAGCAGCAGCAGCAGCAGCAGCGGCAGCAGCAGCAGCAGCAGCAGCAG